GCCCCGTTTGTCAGGAGCCCATCCTCTCACCCGCAAGCACTTGTTTTGATGGTGAGAATTTTCTCTTCAGAGAAACAGCGTTTTGCCAATGAAGAGTTGGGACAGTATGTGGTTCCTGGAGTCAGTTTTTCCAGGACAATGCTGTTTTTTTTCACAACTGCAGAAAATAAGGGATGGCTGTTGGCGGGAGCTACGCTCTCTGAGTAACGCTGGTCTTGAGCGTGGGTTTTCAGCCGGGTATGGCAGGCATGTCTTGAACTTGTTGAGTGTACCTTCCTCTCTCCTTCTTGGAGACAAGGTCAGGTATGTAAAGCGTCCTCACTGGCCTGGAACCGTGTTCACCAGACTGACTTCCAATGAGGTTTCTGCCCATCTCTTGACGGAGTCTTTGTAATGAAAAGCCCAACTTTCCCCCTTCAAGGCTTCCCCTTATAGTATTTTACCTCACCCCACCATCAGTCTCTCTCTCTCCGACTCCCCTCCCTGTCCCTTTCCTCCCCGTTCCTGTACCTCTCCCTCTTTCTCTTTCTTCTTTCACTCTCCCCTCCCCACCCACCTCACCCCCTTCTCTCTCTCTACCCCTGGATGGAGTGCAGAGATTCAAAACCAGCACACCTGGCCTACAGTTATTTTCTCAATCACCAAGTGAGGTCTTTGTGAAGACAGCTGCTCTGTTTACTGTAATTTTATTACCAGATTCAGGAGGAGACAATTTTGAAAAGAAAAAAAGATAGTAGGAAGTAGTTTCTTACAGAAACTGGAAAAAGTCAACCATCTTCATGATTTTTTTTCCCTCAAATTTTAAAAAACTGGATGACAATTCATCTAGATTAGGTGGTAATCTCTTCCATTGTTCCATCAGTAGGTTAACATAATTGTTTAGTTGTGGTGGTGGTGGTGGTTGTTTTTTTGTTTTTGTTTCTTTGAGACACGGTTTTTCTGTGTAACAGCCCTAGCTGTCCTGAACTAGCTCTTTAGAACAGGCTGAGCTACCAGTGCTAGGATTAAAGGCATGTGCCATCACCACCGCCAGGCAATTGCTTAGTTTGATGTTTATTGTCAGATGAGAATATTTACTATATAATTTAAAAACTTTCCTCCATATACATATATGTATATTTTACAACTCGAGGCAACTAAACTATCTCTTAAAATTGGAAAATTGGGGGATTTTTTTTTTCCAGAGTTTCTCTGTGGCTTTGGAGGCTGTCCTGCAACTAGCTCTCATAGACCAGGCTGGTCTGGAACTCACAGAGATCCACCTGCCTCTGCTTTCTGAGTCCTGGGGTTAAAGGCGTGCACCACCACCGCTCGCTTGGAATCAAGTTACTTTAATGAATGAATGATGTCACAGGCAAAAAAAAAAAGCGGGGGGGGGTAGAGAAAAAAAAGAAAACAATGGAAGAGTACTATAAATTTTTCAGATTGGTGGAAAAATGATTAAGTTGTATAATTGGCTAGCTGTATTGAAGAAACCTATCTGAATATTATGTGATACACTGAAAATAACATTCAAAAGAAAAATATGAAAAATACATACCTAAATGCAATTCTCAGGAATGAAGAAACCTTTTGTTCTTAAGCATATTTTAGATGCTGAAGCAACCATAAATGGAAAAGTCTAGGAAAAATTGAGTACACCAAAAAATTGGAAGTATGTTAACCAAAAACAAACAAGAGGGGAAATAAGTATTTGTAATATGTTGTATAAAGGGGCTAGTTTCTAGATGTTTAGATTGCTGCCCTTACCCCCACCCCAGCGCCCCCCAAAACCAAATAGACAGGAACACGGAGATAAACTTAATAGGCTCGGGTTGCCAGTGATACCTAACACAACTTCATATTCTCAGAGTTCTATGGGTTGGAAGTTCAAGATCAAGGCATCAGTAGGTTTGGCTTCTGAAGTATTTCTGGTTTGCAACAGCTGCCTTTGAAGGACCTTGCCTCTGTGCCCTATGCATAACATCCTTGGTGTGTCTTCCTTTTATTACAAGGACAATCCTATTACATGGATTAGAGACCTTCAGTTAATTAAGTTAACCTTAATTACCTATTTAAAGGCCCTGTCTCCAAACACAGGCACATTGGGCTTAGGACTTCAGCAAATGAAAGGGGTGGGGCAGACAGAGCACATGTCAATTCCTGTAGACCCCAAGTACAGAATGATAATGGCCTGTAACACTAAGAAGACAAAGTTTAAACAATTTATTGGCAATTAAAGAAATGAGAATTTAAACAGAAAGATCTCTTTTTAAAATTGTCATTTTGGCAAGTGATGAATTCTGAATGCAGAAAAATGGATAAAAGTAATTTTAAAAGAAGGGCAGATTAGTTGTTAGTGACAGAACTATGTGATAAATAAGAATAGATATGCCTTGATGATTTATGAGTTTTTCAGAGGAGAATGGATGGAATGAATGTATCTATTTGTTCAGCTTCTTCCTCAGAGTTACAACTCAGCCATTAACAACCATTTTGAACAAGGTAACCGTACTAAATTGAATCAAAACTATGCATCCAAATTATTTTTCTTGTTGTTCTGGGAGAAGAGAAGTAAGCAAAATTTGTATCATTAAGTCATCAGAGATGCATCATTATGCAAATTATCATCAGAGATGCACATTTTTTTTTTTATTAAGGCAGCACTGCTCTGGAGATAGCATAGGATTCTGGAAACTTCTGCAACTTCAGTTTCCATGGTACTTTTCATATAGAAAGCGCTTCCTGGGAGTCACTGATGTGATGATCAATTTCCACCTAATTAGGTCCTGAGAATTCATAAATTCATAGTAGAGATCTTTTTTTCCAACATGATATTTTTTATTAATTGTTTGGGAACTGTACACAATTCACCCGTTCACACTCGACTCCCGTTCCTCTCGGATCCACTCTACCACCTTTGTGTCCTCACCACCAAAAGAAAACAAAAAAACACATGTATACCAAGTCCAATTTGTGGTGCCCATATTTTCATTGGAGCATGGTCAAACTCCCAGCGGCCATCTCCTTAAAGATAACTGAGGCCTTTTGCCCATGCCAGAAGCCATCAACTGTGAGGAGCTGCACTTCAGCATCCCTGTCACAATTCTTAAGGACCCTTCAATGGCTTCCTGTCTAGACTGTTTATTTTGTGGAGAGGAGGAGGCTGTCACAGAAGCCTTCAATGTCTCTTGTTCTCAGTTATGAGTCTACAGTCATTAATACCATTGCAAAAGAAACTTCCTTGCCCATAAGCCCATAACAGCCAGGAGCAACACAGAACACAGACCTCAACATGGTCCCCAGTGGCATCATTGGCAGATTACAGACACCAAAGGATATCCACATGGCCTCTGGCATTATTGTGGTCCAAGGACACCAATATGGCCTCTGGAGGCAGGGTGGACCACGGAAGTCTTGAGGAGGCCCAATCCAGAAACTGAACTCTCCATCTTGGACTTTCTGCTGTTGCTCAGGGGAGGGCAATTGTGCATGTTCAGGGGCAGAGCCTCAGTGAGCTCCAGGCTGCTGCACGCCACCCTGCCTGCACTACTCAGCAATGACATGCTCCCTCCATCCACCGCAGCCATGCTTCCGCACCTGTAGTCACCTAGTCAGTCTCTAGTTCTGCCTGTCTCTGACATATGCACGCCACTCCGTCCCACCATCTTTCCCACTTTTCATCTCATGTTTATTCATTGAAGTGGCATTGCAAACTGCAGTGTGTTGCACAGTTTATGATTTGTCCAAACAGCTTTCCATACAAATACTTACTGCAACAATCCACTGGTCTCTTTCAAGGTTTCTGGTTTCTGAAGCACCACAAATACTGAACTTTTCCTGAGACTAGTCCCAGATAACCTGTTGCCCAGAGTCAGGGTGATCTTGCATCTGCTCAGGGCATCTGAGGGTAGGATCCGAAAAGAGCTTTGTTCAATGCCCAACTCTGTGTCTGCCCTAACATCTTCCCAACTTGATGGTCAAACCCTTTGATTCAAAATATAAAGGTAGAACTTAAAAAGAAATAGATTGTCTAAAGAAAACACAAACTGAAACTGGACAAAAACACCTTCAGAACAGATTAACATGGGAGAGAGAATTTCAAGTCTGAAGACAAGGTGGAATGTATAGCTCAGTCAAAGAAAATGTTAATCCTGGAAAAACTAAAGGCATGAAACACCCAGAAAATTTGGGTTGTGTAAAAAGCAAGCTAAGCAGACTAGTAAACAGCACTCCTCCATGGTCTCTGCTTCACTTCCTGCCTCTGTGTTTCTGTTTGAGCTTCTGACCTGACTTCACTTGGTGGTGGACTCTGTACAACATAATAAACCCCTTCCTCTGTAAATTAGTTTTGGTCAATGTTTTATCACAGCAATAAAAACCAAGCTCAAATGAACTCAAATACATAGAATTGACATTTTTATTATTTCATTTTTGAATTATCATTAATAATTAATTTTATTGATTATTTTTTTTATTACTTTGATTTTTCAAGACAGGGTTTCTCCGTGTAGCTATGACTTTCTTGGAACTTGCTCTGTAGACTAGGCTGGTCTTGAACTCAGATATTTTCCTGCCTCTGCCTCTGCCTCCTAAGTACTGGTATTAAAGGTGTGATCCATTACTGCCCTGCTTACTAATTATTATTAAGTAAAAGTATATTTGAGTAA